AAACCATCCCTGAAGAAACACAGGCATAGGACTTAATAGACAAAGAGTTTAAAACAACTGTCTTTCTCGAAGAGCTAGATGGAAACTATGGACAAAGACCTAAAGGAAATCAGGAAAACAATATATAAACAAAATTAGAATATCAGCAAAGAGATAGAAATTATATATAAAAAAAGAACAAAGCAGAAACTCTGAACCTGACAAATACATAACTGAATTATAAAAAAAAAAAAAAAATCACTAGAAAGACTCATCATACTCAAACAGGCAGAATAAAGGAACAGCAAAAAAAAAAAAAAAAAAAAAATCAAAACAAAAACCAGCAAAGGAAAATGAACATAGCTTAAGGAATTTATGGAACATATTAAATAGACTAATAGACACATTATAGGAATCCAAAAGAAGAGAAAAGGACAAAGCTATTTGAAGAAATAATGACTGAAATAATAACGTCCCAAATTTGGAAAAAGCATGAATATACAAATACAAGAAATTCAACAAACTCCAGGTAGGATAAACAAAGATACTCACACTGAGACACATTATCAAGTTGTAGAAAGTTAAAGACAAAGAGAATGAGAATCTTGAAAGCAGCAAGAAAAAAATGGTTTGTAATGTATAAGGGATCCCCAGTAAGATTACCAGCAGATTCTCAACAGAAACCTTACAGACCAGAAGGTTGTGGAATGATATATTTACAGTGCCAAAAGGAAAAAAAAAAATCAAGAATTCTATATCAGGCAAAACTGTCATTCAAAAATGAGGGAGAAATTAAGACAACAGAGCTGAGTTTATTACCATTCGACCTGTCCTACAAGAGATGCTAAAGAGACTTTCAAGTTCAAATTAAAGGACTCTGACAGTAACTCAAAGCCATATGAAAATATAAAATTCTCCAGTGCTAGTAAGTACAGGGACAAATATAAAAACCAGTATTACTGTAATTTTGGTTTATAAGTCTACTTTTTATAGGATTTAAAACACAAATGCAGGGGTGCATGTCTGGCTCCATTGGTAGAATGTGCAGTTCTTGATCTTGGGGTTGTGGGATCAAGCCCCACATTGGGTGTAGAGATTTCTTAAAAGTAAAATCTTTAAAAAAGGGGAAAAAATCTTTAAAAAAGAAATAAAAGACAAATGCATAAAAATATTTATAAATCTGTGTTAATGAATATATAATATATAAAGATTTAACTTGTGACAGTGAGGGGCAAAGCTGTAAAGGAGGGTTTTTTAACGCAATTGAAGTTAAATTGGTATCAGTTTTAAGATAAGTTGTTACAACTTTTGGATGTTATATATAACTTCACAAAGAATATATCTATAGAATATACACAAAAGGAAATGAGAAAGGAGTCAAAATTTGTCACTAAAAAAATCACAAAGCACAAAGGAAGGCAGTAATGGAGGAAATGAGGGTCAAATTAGCCATGAGACATACAGAAAACAAATAAAATAGCAAAAGTAAGTTCTTCCCTATTGTTAATTACATCATTATTTTTTAGTAAAGATTTTATTTATTTATTTGACAGAGCACAAGTAGGCAGAGTGGGAGGGAGAAGCAGGCTCCCTGCTGAGCAGAGAGCCCAGTTCAGGGCTCGATCCCAGGACCCTGGGATCATGACCTGAGCTGAAGGCAGACGCTTAACCAACTGAGGCACCCAGGCATCCCTCACTAATTACTTTAAATGTAATCGGGTTAAACTCTCCAATCAAAAGACATAGATTGGCAGAATAGATTAAAAAACAACTACAGCACACCATATGCCAACTATATGCTCTCTATAAGACATTCACTTTGGGTTTAAGGACATGCAGAGGTTGGAAGTGAAAGGATGGAAAAAGATACTCCATACAAATAGTATCGAGAAGAGAGCAGGGTGGTTATTCTAATATCAGACAAAATAAGCTTTTGAATACTGTTATAAAAGACAAAGGGTAGTATACTAAATGATAGTTCTTGATTTAACTTACCCAGAAGCTATAACAATTGTAAACATAAATGCACCAAACAAGTGAGCTCTAAAATATTAAAGCAAATATTGACAGAATTGAAAGGGGAAAATAGCTCTATAATAGCAGTAGGAGACTTCAATACCCCATTTTCATTAATGGGTAGAACATCTAGTCAGGAGATCAAGAAGGGAAGAAAGACTTGAATAGCCCTATAGATAAATTGGACCTATCAAACATATACAGAACTCTCCTTCCAACAACAGTGTAATACACATTTTTCTCAAGTGCACATGGTACATTCTCCATGATAGGCCATATGTTAGGTTATAAAACATGTTAATAAATTTTAAAAGATTGAAATCTTACAGTTTCCTTTCCAAACACAATAGAATGAAATTAAAAATCAAAAGCAGAAAAACACTGGAAAATCCACAGATATGTTGAAATTAAATGGGGTGCCTGGTTGGTTCGGTCCGTCAGGTGTCTGACTCTTGATTTCGGCTGAGGTCATGATCTCGGTGTTGTGAGATCAAGCCCCAAGTCAGGCTCCATACTGGGTGTGGAGCCTGCTTGGGATTCTCTCTTTCCCCCTCCCCCACTGGCATTCACTCTCTCTCTAAAATAATAAATCTTTAAAAAAATTAAATAATATACTCTTAAACAACCAATGGGTTATAAAAGAAATCACAAGAGAAATTAGAAAATATCTGGGGAAAAATAAAAATGAAAACAATATTAAAACTTATGGGATACAGTGAAAGAAGTGCAAAGAGAAGTTTATAGTGGCAAACACATTAAAAAAAAAAAGAAAGGTCTGAAGTCAACACTCTAACCTTATACCATAAGGAACTAGAAAAAGAAGAACAAACTAAACCCAAAGCTAGCAAAAGGAATAAAGATTAGAACAGAGATAAATGAGAGACTAAAAAACAATAGAAAAAAAAATCAACAAAACCAAGAGATCATTTTTCAGAATGATCAACAAACTTGACAAACCTTTAGCTAGATTAAGAAAAAAAGAAGACTGAAATAACTAAAATCTGAAGGAAAAAGGGGACATTACTATTGATTTTACAGAAATAGAAAGGATTGTAAGACAGTACTATAAACAGTTGTACACCAACAAATTGGATGACCTAAATGAAATGGACAAATTCCAAGAAATGTAACTTACCAAGATTGAATCACTGAATCACGAAGAAATAGAGGATATGAATAAACCTTACAACTAATAAAAAGATTGAATCAGTCATCAAAATACCAACAAACAAAAACCCAGGGCCAGATGGCTTCACTGATGGATTCTACCAAGGATTTAAAGAAGAATTAATACCAATCCTTCTGAAGCTCTTACAAAAACTTGAAGAGAAAGGAACACTTCCTAACTTATTCTGTGAGGCCAGCATTACCCTGATACCAAAGCCTTTATGGGATATGTGGTATTATCGTGCCCATTTTACACACGAGAAAGGTGAGGCACAATTTGAAGTAACTTGCTCAAGTTCACAGCCAGTGATTTCAGGATCTGAATTCATGCACTCTGACTTGCAGAGCCCACACTGTTAACCAGCATCTCACCACTGACCGATGTAAAGGAAAATAATCAAATGAAAGCAACAGAAAAATTTCTACTTTTTTTTTATCTTAACATTTGTTTTAATTTTGTTTTTTTTTTTTCATCTGGGCCATTAAATTCTAATATATTATTTATCCCAGGGTACTGTGTTTTGGTACTCAGTTTAAGTTAGTTGCCAATAAAACTAAATGAACAGCATCTCTCTCTCCCTGTCCTGTAGTTGACTCTGGCAGGAGGAATCAAGGAGAGAAACGAAGATATAGATCTCCATACTGTATAACAGTTCCTCAACACTTGTTTTCATAGTAAAAAGACCATCACTTAACATATCCCTTCTTAATGGACCTAGAAATTGGTGAAGCGCAGGTCCAAAGTAACATGTTGTAAGGTTTTTGTCTGTAAAGATTAAAGAATATGTATTCTAACAGAATCTATCCTATTCACCAATTGACTGAGCACACACCCAAAAGAAATTTCCTTAGATCCATTTAAAAAAATTTTTAAGACTCCATTCCATTGTGGGAGAGAAAGGGATTTTGAGTGCCTCTGTATCTAGGCTGCAGGATGGACGTGAGAATGCAGTAACTTACCCTGGCTGTGCTGTGCCACAGGGTCCCCCATCCCCCTCTGCGGGTGCAAGATTTTTGGGGCCCTAGGATACCCTCTAGTAAAGCCCTTCTCTATGAGGAGCAATGAGTGAAGGAGGCAGAGAGTACCAGATACAACAACATGGAGTGACTTTACAAAGTCAAAATTAAATTTCCCCCAAATTTTAACAGTTTCAAACATGAGGCGGTTTGACCTTGCCCCTGGTCCCCACCGCCCAGCCCATAACTGTAACAGATATTTAGAAACAGGTGACTTGGGGCACCTGGGTGGCTCAGTCAGTTAAGCATCTGCCTTCAGCTCAGGTCACGATCCCAGGGTTCTGGGATTGAGCCCGACATCGGGCTCCCTGCTCAGCGGGCAGTCTGCTTCTCCCTCTGCCTGCCCCCTCCCCTGCTCATGCTCTCTCTCTGTCAAATAAATAAGTAAAATCTTAAAAACAAAAAAACAGGTGACATCATCCAGAGTATCCAATAAAGCCTTCATCTGAGAGACGATCCCAGGCCTAGACCTACAGTTAACCAGTGTGGTAAATCAGGTTATTATTTTAATTCGCACTATGGTCCATGTCAAAATACCTGGGATGCTAGTCAACTGAATGATTCAACCAGACAGAAATCTCTGTGAAATTAGGGCTGCAAATCTACACTTCTATAGGTTTGCCAGTTGATTAACTGTTCCCCTCCCCCATTTTAAACAGTTTTGTTGAGGTATATATAACGGACATACAATGAACTGTGCATACGTTTCTTTTTAAATTAAAATTTTAGTAACATTCCATTTTTCTATCCTAAAGCTACCTCCTGAACCCAAAGTTGTTTCATTTGATTTTTGTTGGTTTTTGTTTTTAATCTTTTTACAGAGCATATAGGATTGGGCAGTGCAGGGATGTGAAAGTATTTAGGCTGATATCTTTGGGAACTGTGGAGGAGATCATGTACTTACGACAGGTATACAAGCAGGTAAATATATTTCCCTTTTCCTAATTAAGAAGTAAACATTTGTCTATTTCAAAAATTTCAGAAATTTGTGTAAAAATTGTTTTTTCATTTTATTCTAACTATAATATGGAATTTAATAAGATTATGAAATATACTTTAGAATATATTCTGTAAAACAGATGAATTCTTATGTTCATTGAACTTCAGAGCTGAAATTTTCTTTGACTAGTACTTTTTAAGCTTTAATGTGTACATGAATTACATAGGGATCTTTAAACTACAGATTCTGATTTAGTAGCTCTGGGTGGAGCCCAAGAACTCTACATTTTTAACAAGCTCCCAGGAGTGCCAACACTACTGCAGACCACAATTTGAGTAGCAAGGTCACAGCCCCCCAGCCTGTGGACCAAGACATAATTGTATGCCACAGATGGGATACAGGTGCACTGACACATTGATCTCACAGCTTTCTGGGCAGCGAGATTACCTAAACCAACTTCCAGCCTTAAGAAACCTTTCCAGATAGGTGTTCATGTTACCATTTTCTGCATGTACCATTGCACGAAGACTAAGGGAAAAATCCCTTAGAGATATCTAATGCAACCATTTCATGTTGTACATAATGAAACTGGGACCCAGGGACACCCCAGTAAATGGAATAACAGGGATAGAACTCAAGTGTACTGACTACTGTGCCAGTGATTTTAGTGTTCATCTGAAATTGTATTAACTCTTTAATATCCTTAGCGTATCAATTACTTCACCATTTATGTCTCTAAATAAACAAAATTTATTAGTTTATAATTGCTCACTTGAGAAGATCTGGAATGAGGTTCAAATTTAATTATAAATGTTAAATTTTAATTACTCCCTATATATTCCATTGGCATCTATTTAAGAGCAAACATCTGCCACATGTGGTGGTAGTTAACCTAAGAATGATCCAATCTTAAATTTATGCTGTTTTCTTAATTCTAAAAATAGAATTGTACACAACAGTTTTGTTTTTTCTTAAAGCACTTAGCTCTATAAGAAACCTTTCATCTTTTTGTTCTTTGGTATAGCACAACTACTTGAACATTATTTTGTTCAGATATATTTAACCAGTGTTGGAAAAAAGTAGAACATTATTCTTTTCATCTTAGGAGCAGTTCTTTAGAATACTGTCTTAGACTTGTCACAATCCAGTATAATTTTTCTGTCCATTACTATATATATGTAGTAATTTTCTATATGTATATACTATATATGTACATATATATACACTATATAATACTATTACTTCAGAAGATGAGGATAATGTCCGTTTTCAGAAGTTTATATGCTCTACTTGGTTATTAAAATATTTTTTAAGCATGAGCCCTTTAGAAAAGACTCAACCATACAATTTAGTAGGCACGAATCAAGATAATATGGCAGTTGTGTGAGGAAAAAGGCAAGAGATGTGATTTAAAAGTTGACTGGAGTTTGAACCAACAGTGCATATGGCATATACACTCTAGCTAGCTTTCTGAGTATTCCTCAAATCCCTTGGGGAAAAAGAAATCCAAAATGATTTTTTAAATTATTTATTTGAGAGAGAGAGAGGGAGAGAGAGCAAGGAGTCAGGGGAGGGCCAGAGGCAGAGGGAGAGAGGAAATCTCAGGTAGACTCTGCTCTGAGCATGGAACCCCATGTGGGGCACAATCCCATGACCCTGATACCATGACTGAGCTGAAACCAAGAGTCAGACACTCAACCAACTGAGCCACCCAGGCACTCCCAAAAAGGATGTTTAAAAAAACTGCAAAAATTTTGGAAAGTAAGAAGAGTTCTATTTGTGGCCCAGAAATTATAAGGAACCCTAAAAGACGAAAGGCATTTGGGATCATATTGAAGGAAGAAGCCAAGCTAAACTCAGAAAGAGACTATTAAAAAAGGTAGGTGCAGCTTCTGGATATTCCAAGTTAGAGTCAGCAGATACTAAAAAAGGGGGGGAGTCTTAGGGTGACTATGATGCCCCCTCTTTGGGATATCATTGATGATCTAACAAGATGGGTTAGCCCCGTACAATCTTACCCCAAATGCAGCAAATTACAGCCAACAGAGGTGTCTGCTCTCAAGTAAGAACAATAAATAGAAATACTGGAAGCAAAGAAGCAAGACAGAGCTCCATATTTTGCTGAAATTGAGAAGAAAATCCCTCCTGTTGCCCAGAAGATTAAATACTTACAGGTCCCCTGCTCTGAATGATCACTGCAGTAGGCTGAAATAAGAATGTAGGGTATTTGAAGACAGATGAATACCCAACAAAAAATAATTTTTGAACAGTTTAAGAAAAGAAACACTATGAAAATGGTCCTCCAAGATATCAAGTCCTAATCCCTGGAATCTGTAAATGTTACTTTATGTGGAAAAAAGGGTCTTTCAGATGTGATTAAGGATTTTGCAATGGGGTAAATAGCCTGGATTAGCCAGGTAGGTTCTAAATCACAAATGTCCTTATAAGAAAGAAGCAAGGGGAAATCTGACACAGACAGAAGAGAAAACAATGTTACCACAGAGGCAGAGAATGGAGTGATGTGGTCACATGCTAAGGAATGCTGGTAGCCACCGACAGCTGGAAGAGGCAAGGAATGGATTCTCTCCTAGAGCATCTGCAGAGAGCATGGCCCTCCCAAAACCTTGATTTCAGCCCAGTGATACTGATTTCAGACTTCTGGACTCCAGAACTGTAAGAGTAAAATAAATTTATTTTGATTTAAGCCACCAAGTTTATAATTTGTTACAAGAGCCATCAGAACTATTATAGGCACTCAAAAAGGAGAAGAGGTAGAGGAAGAGGAAGAAGAATTAACATCAGAGAAGACAAAAATAAATAGAAAAGAATAAAATAGAATTTTAAAAATACATAAGTAGTATTTTCAAATGATGAGTGGGAGGGTTGCCTGCGTGGCTCAGTGAAGTGTCTGACTCTTGATTTTGGCCCAGGTCGTGATCTCATTTGTCATGGCATCAATCATGCCCCATGACTGGCTCTGTACTTAGTGGGGAATCTGCTTGGGGACTGTCTCCCTCTGCCCCTCCACTCTCTCTCTCTCTCTCAAATAAATAGATCTTTAAAACAACAACAACAAAAAAAGGTGAGTGAGGTTGTAGGATCCTAGAAATAAGAACAGACTACCAGAAAAAGAATCCATTAGCTTCCAGTAAATGAAGAACTCCAGAGATAGCTTGAGTAGAAGAGAGCAATGTTTTCATCTAAAAGAGAGAGCTAAATAATTGTTCTAGATTACAGAGCAAAAAAGACAAAGAATATATGTAAGAAAAGTTAGGGGAAATGAATTGTAGGTCTAGAAGTTCTAATACCAGTCTTATAGTTGAAGAGGGGAATAGAAGGAAGGGACGGAAAGAAACTCTACATAAAGGAAGAAGCATATAAAAAATAGAAAACAAGAGTCCAAGAATTATATAGGCCCATGTAATTATGAGTGCTAAACAGGATGAATGAAAATAGATCCACACTTACACCATCTTTCTATTATTATAAAACACCAAGGATAAAGTGAAAAGTCCTCTAAATTTCCAGAGATGAACCTTCTGGAGAGAAAAAAAACATTACCTATAATAGTACTAAGATTAGATAAACATCTGACTTCTTTTTAGTGATTCTGGATGCTTAGGAGTAATGACTTCAAATGAGGGAGAATGATGCCTTATATTGTCAAAGAAAGTGAATTTTTAATTCAAACCTTTCTCATAAAACAAGATTTTAACCTAGATGACTTCCACAGTGAATTCTATCAAAAAATATTCTTTTTGAAAACAAAGGAGGAGAGAACACTTGTAACTTATTTTAGAAAGAAAATGTTGATACCAAAATTTGGCAAAGATATTACAAGAACATAAAATTATAGACCAATATCTCTTATGAACATGAATGTAAAAATCTTTAACAAAGTCTGTGTTAGAACTTGAATTGTGTGCCCCCTCCAAAGAAAAGGTATGTTAAAGCCCTTCCCCTGTGTGTAACTTTGAAGGGGATTTTATTTGGAAGTAGGGTCTTTGCAGATGTAATCAAGTTAAAATAAGGTCATACTGGATTAGGGTGGACCCTAATCCAATGACTGATATCCTTATAAGAGGGAAATTTGGATACAAACTGACACTGAGGGAGAATGACCTTGATGAAGGAGGCAAAGATTGGAGTAATGCAGTTTCAAACCAAGAATGCCAAGGATTGGCAGGAGCCAAGGGTATTCACTTGGAACCTTCAGAGAGAGTGTGGTCCTGCCAACATCTTGATTTCAGACTTTAGCGTCCAGAACTGTGAGAGAAGCAATTTCTGTTGTTTTAAACCATCCAGGTTGTGGCATTTTGTTAAAGCAGTCTTAGGGAACAGCCTCAAAGGCAAATATTGTAAATTTAACTACATTTTTATGTGAAACTTCTGTATGACAAAGGACCTACAAGCCAAATTTTAAAAGTGTCTAGGACATCATTAGTTTTTGAGGTAGTGTTCAACATTCATTAGTTGCATGTAACACCCAGTGCTCATCACTACACCTGCCCTCCTTAGTAATATATGCTGGCTAATTGAACATAATAATAAAAAAATTAAAATAATTTTTAGAAACAAGAAATCAGAAAATACCAGATACACATTATTAAAGATGGAGCTAAGAAATAGACTAAAATACATGAATATGAACCAAGAAATGCTCCCCTATATGCCCTTTTTAATGTCCGGATAATCAATATAAAGAGTTTTTTTGGGAGGGCGCCTGGGTGGCACAGTGGGTTAAGTGTCTGGCTCTTGGTTTCAGCTCAGGTTGTGACCTCAGGGTCATAGGATCAAGCCCTGCATCAGGCTCCACGGTCAGTGCAGAGTCTCTCTCTCTCTCTCTCTCTCTCTCTCTCTCTCCCTCTCCCCCTTCCTTTCTCTCTCCCTCTCTCTTCCTCTCTCAAATAAATAAATAAATCTTTGAAATAAAAAAAAATAAAAAGCGTCTAGGAGGAAAATGTCCATGTATATGGTAAACAAAGGATTAGCATCTATAGTGCATAAAGAACTTCCACAAACCGATAAAAAGACTATGATTAGGCATTTTATTGAAGGAAAAATACAAATGGTTAATGCATATATGAAAAGATGCCTAACCACAGTTGTAATCTAGAAATATAAAATAATATAATACTGTGGGGGAGATGAACCATGAGAGACTGGACTCTGAGAAACAAACTGAGAGTTCTAGAGGGGAGAGGGGTGGGGGGATGTGTTAGCCTGGTGATGGGTATTAAAGAGGGCACATACTGAATGGAGCACTGGGTGTTATACGCAAACAATGAATCATGGAACACTACATCAAAAACTAATGATGTAATGTATGGTGATTAACATAACAAAATAAAAAAAACCATACTGTGTTATGCACATTCTGCAAAATCTTTTTTGTGTGTGGGTTTTTGTTTTGGGGGGTTGGTTTTAGGGATATAGAGAGATTGGTACTATTCATTGTTGGTGGGAGTATTTGTAAAGAGGTACTCATACTATTTTTGAGAATATAACTTGGTCCATTTATTTTATAGGCTAAGTTAACAACATTTTAAAACATATAGCACCTTCTCCTTATCTGTCTGACAGAAATACTCTTATATACGCACAGTGAAAGATAACAAGGATTTATATTCAGCATTATTAGTATTTGTTTAAAAAAATGAAAAAAAGAAACAGCCTAAATGTCCTGTAGTAGCAGAATGATAACATAAATTCTGATACACGCAACAGAAAAAAAAAATTATAGACCAGATGTACTGATCAGGCAAGACCTCTAAGACATTTTTAAGTGGGACCGAAAAACCTGACTCACAAAACAAGTATATCAATTATGTTGATGCATAAAGTTATTTCTATATGTATATATAAATAGCTCTAACTGCACTGAAAAAGATCTAGAAGGATATACGTAAACATTACAATGTTACTAAGACTTATAAAGGATGATCTGTATTATTCAAGGGGGACTATCACTTTGATATTTTGTTTGCATTTGTTGTGATAATGCATTCAGACATTTTATACTTTTAAAAAATAAAACACCTACAAAGAAACTGTACTCCTTCATGTTTGGAGCATTTCATATAATCTAAATTCACCTTAATTTCCAAATGCCAAATTTTAGATTATATGAAATGCTCCAGATATATATGAAAGGTGAATAGATATATATAATTTAGAAATACATTTGTATTTGCAGAAGAATTGTAAAAATAGCCCAAAGAATACCCAATTAACTTCACCCAAATTCCCCAGTTGTTAACATTTTATCACATTTGCTTTTCTCTTTCCCTCAGCCATGATCTTTATTTTTCTGAACCATTTGAGAGAAAGTTGCAGATTTATCACTTCTAAGTTCTCTAGTGTGTATTTCCCCCAAAGAAGGACACTCTCCTATTTATATGTACATATAAAAATAGTTGCATGCATATAAATACTCAGTTTTGTGTGTTGTCCTGCACTTGCTTTTTCCCTCTGCTCTCCTCTCCAGAATGCAGTTATTCCAATCAAGAAACTAACATGGATTACCTTGAAATCCACAAAACTCAATTCAGATTTCACCGATTTTCCTGGCAATTTCTTGTCTCCTTTTTTTTTTCTGGTTCAGGATCCAAACCAGGATCGTGGTTATAGAGAATTTCTTTTCATGTCTCTTTAGTTTTCTTTAACCTAGAGTAGTTAGTTACCCAAGCTTTCCCTGTCTTTCATGACCTTCACAGTGTTAAGAGTAAGGCCTTTCCTTGTGTTAGCTCGCCTTAAAGTAGGTCCATTTGATATTTCCTCATGTCCAGATTCAAGCCAAGAACCCCTGGCACGAATAGTTCAGAAACAATTCTGTCCTCTTCTCCTTGCATTGGTCAGAAGGCACCTAGTGGTGACCTTTATTTCCATTCAGTTTCGTGTCTGTCAGCTTTCTTCATTGCAGTCACCATTTTTTCCCTTTATAATTGATAAATATCTTATGGGGACATCCTCTGAGACTATGCCAATAACCTGTTCCTTATTAAGCCTGTACCCATCAGCCTTAGCATTCATTGCTAATTCCCACCTGAATCAGCTACCACCATGATGATTGTCAGATGGTGACTTTCTATTTTCCATTATTCCTTCTTCTTTGTTGCTATTCTACCATAAAAAAGAGTTTCCCTTGTTTTCTATATATTTATTTAATCTATATGGACTCATGGGATCCTGTATTAGTAATAGGTTATAATCTCTTGAATTTCACTGTATATTTTGGTGTTAAAACTGTCTCACTTCAGTCCAGTGAGACAAGGTGGATTTTGTGTCATTTTGTCAAGCCTCCATCATTCTTTTTACACGTCCTTACTCTGGTAGGCTGAATGATGTTCCCCCAAAGATGTCCACATCCTAATCCCACAAACCCACCTGGATTCTCTGGGTGAGCCAAAGTAATCACTGAAGGGAACAGTTGGGCAGGAAGTTCAGAGAAAGGAGAGAGGGAGGAAAGCAGAAGCAGAGGGTCAGAATGATATGAAGATGCCACGCTACTGGTCTTGAAGATAGAAAAAGGTGTCCTGGCTCCTCAGCATGGCGAACATTGCTTCTTTTCTTTCTACCTCTTGTACATTTTGTGCATTGTTATGAAGAAATCCAAATGTTTTGTAGCCTTGAATGGGTTTTTCTTAAGCCAGAACCTGAGCTACATTTTCTAATTACTGATTTTTTTCCCCTCGCCCTCTTTAATTCTAACGTTATTTTCTTATAGCAGCCTATAGATGGATGTATCTGACCTTCGCTTTTACTGGAGCCACTTTGGAAAACTTATTTTATGTACAAAATAATGTGCCTTTTATAAATTTTGTGGTAAAACTGGTAGGGAATTTATAAAGATGCAGATTAATGCTTACAAATTACTTTGGTGATTATATTTAGTTTAAGAGAGAGTGGTAGCAAAGGGTAAAATCATCAACTGGACCATCAGGTACATCAGTTGCTATGGTGATTCACTTTTCCCAGACTATAGCCTATGTTTCTAGAATATTGATACCAAATGATCAACTTGGATACTGATGCAAAGCTTCCTCAAACTAAGTTCCCAAGGGTCTTGTTTTAAAAGGGACATCCTGGAGATGAGAAATTTTTACAAGTATACATTTTGGATTTAACCAAATCCAGGTATAAATTCTAGAAATGACACTTCCTAGCTGGGCAGTCTATGAGAAGACTCTTAATTTCTCTAAAGTTAAGCTTTATTTCTAAAAAGGGAGATAATAATGTCTTATAGGTAGGTATTAAATGAGAGAATGTACAAATATTACACAGGTAGTAAGTATTCAATAAATAGCCCCTATTAATAAGAATTGTTTTAGTTGCCTAGAGTAATGTATTACAGTACAAATCAACTTAAATCACAATACAGTATCACTTCTTACTAACCCTTACATCAACAATAGACTGAAGTTATTTTCCACTCTGTGCAGTCTTTGTTTCTTCCAAGAAATTTTAAAGTGTATATGGGGTTAATGATTATATTTACATTGCATTTAGTAAAATACCTCGCAAATAAAGAAATACACTATTGTTACTAAAGCAGTATATGTCCTTCAAGGTTCCGTCTATATTCAAAAGTGTTTCAAAGATGCAGTGTTTCTAAACAGTGATTGGGTTTGTGCTGCTGGTTGGCAATATAACGATGGACACAATTAGTTTGACAGCAACATAGTTGTCATGTAGTTACTTAGGTTATAATTTAACTTTGGTGAAATAGGGATATTTTTGTCAGTTTTAGGAGTTCCTGTTGTAATGAGTCTAGAGAGGAGAAAAGTGTATTCAAATGTATCCTTTTATCATTAAACATTTTACAAGTGAATATTGCATAGTGATGGGGTCTTGACTCAGTTGGTAGAAAACAGATAAAATAGGAAATGTAAGATCTCTTCTTCAATAAGACTGGCCCGATTACTATTATTTCACCATAATGGCAACATCTGCCAGGGAAATTAAAATAAAATTTCCTCCTAAGGAGATTCTGCCTGCTCCAGCTAAAGCTGTGTATATACAGGGAATGCCAGGAAATTCTGACATATTGTTGGAGCAAACACTTCAAAAATATCTTGTGTTTTTTCTGTTTTAGCAACTTCACTGTGTGGTGGTTGGAAGTGAAAATGCCAAGCGATATTTTGAAGCGGTTCAAGGATCAAAAGAGCACCGAGGAGAGCTTTTTGGGGTCTATAATCTCTTCAAACTAAGGTCCCAAGGGTCTTGTCTTACGAGGGACATCCTCGAGGTGTGAAATTGTTCCCTGAGCTTTTCAATGATATTTTAAATACAGTTTTCTCCCTCAGGAAACTTGAAATATAATTGCTGGTACCTTTTCAGAGACATTTGGGATTTTCTTAGTAAAAAATACCTTGTGTTTAGAATTTTGACTTTTAGAAAAATAGGAAGTGAATTGTACCTCTAAACTAAGATTTCCCCATGTGTAGTTGTAAATAATGTATACACACAAATACAGATACATATAGTAGATAGTATGACTTCCAAGACCACTTTCAGACTGGCAAAGAGCAATATATTATTTTGAGAACAGCTGCTAAAGTCAGGAACTAAAAAAAAGAAAAGAGAGAGAGAGACTTTCCTAAATAAACAAAAATATAAAATGTGTTTTGATTAAAAGTTACCAAATACTCCCTGAGATGCACTCTCATGTCTCATGGAGATTTTTGTTTTCTGTTCCCAATAAAAATTCCACACCAATATTTCAAACTCTCCCAGTTGTGTTCATCCTCAGCATACAGATGTTTCTTATTCTTCAAACAGAAATTTCTATCCTTTTTAAAAAATCGCTTAAATTCTTTGATATGTCAGGATACTAAGGGTATTAGCCTGTTTTCTAGTTGATACTGATATGAGTATCATAAAATCCTGGAATATCATCTTTTTCAATCCCCTCATCATATAGATGAGGAAAATGAGTCTCAGAAAACTCAAAGATTTTTTCCCTTAACTTCCAGGACTTTGTAGTAAAACCTTCATGTACTTCATTGATTTAGTCAGTTTTATAAAAATGGGTCAAGAACAACTGGTCCCTGTCCTTAAAGAACTTAGACCATCTTGATGAGAGGTGAAAGAGAACACTTACATAATGAACATGTAATACCATGTTAAGCAAGATGGCCAAGAGGAAGGCATGTATTGTGTATATCCTGTGAATCCTGCAACTGTTATACAGTGTCTGATGTATACTGCTCAATGTTTATTTTATAGTAACTATTTGATTTGAATTGAGTGGCCCATTTGAAGTCCCCCTGTCTTGGGGCGCCTGTCTGGGTTAGTCGGAAGAGCATGCGACTCTTGATCTCAGGGTTGTGGATTTAAGCCCCATGTTAGGTGTAGAGATTACTTTAAAATAAATTAAAAAAAATAAAGTCCCCCGGTCTTTTTCTTGAATATGCCGTCTCTTCCATGGACTTGTTCTTTCCCATTCCTTTTTTATAATCAGTAACCTTGTGAGTATTCCAGGCCCCCCTCAGATCCTACTTCCTTCTCAGAGTAATACCCAACATACCAACCTATATTGGTGTTTCTCATTTAAAATTATTGTCTATAAAGTATGTTAGCATTATATGACTTATCCTTTTTTCTCTCATTTATCAAATATTTGAGTTCTTTATTTTATCAGAATAGCAGCCTATTCCTTAAGCAAATGTTAGGTAAGACATTCAGTATGACAAGTTATTAAATGAAAAGTTCTCTTGTTTTCTGGTTGTCCTAAGTATATCTTGTTTCTCCTCCAGGATTGTTTATTAATGACAGGACTCTCTTGGTCTTATATTTTGTTTGTGGTAAAATATGCTTAACTTCTTACTAGGCACATCATCAGCACCCCAATATTAAATTAAATTTTGAATTAAAATTGCTCATTTGTTATCAGCCAGAATTTAAAATTATTCAAGCTGGGTACTTACCGGCTAGAATAAGTATCTCTTCCCCTAAAAAAAATAGAGAATAATAATAATTAAAAAAATTATTCAGGCATGGTTAGATTCATGCTGCTTTTGGCCAAACAATGTTTTTAAAATAAGGTTGCTGGAGTGGAGGAGGGTGGGAGGGATGGGGTGGCTGGGTGATGGACATTGGGGAGGGTATGTACTATGGTGAGTGCTGTGAATTGTGTAAGACTGATGAATCACAGGCCTGTACCCCTAAAACAAATAATACATTATATGTTAATAAAAAAATAAAAAAATATATTATTATTCCAAGCCCTATATAATGGAAGCATATATCACAAAGTAAAAAATTATTTCACTTTCTGCAATACGTTTTTAATTTTTAAAGGTTGTAGAAAATCTCTTTTAAAATGTTTTAAAATGTAGAAATTTTCATTTATAGAACACTTTTAATCTGATGATTTCCAGGCAATTTATTTCTACTTTGCACTGACCTTGTTATCTATATCTATATCATGATCTCCCTTTAGAGAGAGATATTGAGGACTAATTTCACAAATATCTATTGAGTATATGCTAAATGTCAGGTACTACCCATCATAGAGCTAGGCATACAGAAATGAATAAAATAGACAAAAAGTCCTACCTACAAAAAATTTACATTCTATTTTGGGGAAACAAATAATAAACAAAAAAATGATACATATAGCCTATTATGACAGTAGGCTCTGAGAATAAAAATAGAGCAGGTAGAAGATGAATGACTTCTGGAGATCTAATGCCCAGCATCATGATTATAGTCAATAATACGTATTATATACTTCAAAATCGCTAACGGAGTGGATCTTAAATGGTCTCACCACTAAAAAGTGTTTATTCTGTGGCATGATAGAGATGTTAGCTAAAGCTATGGTGGTAATCATATTGCAATAGATAAATGTGTCAAAACATGTACACCTTAAGTGTATACAGTGTTATATGTAAATTATATCCTAATAAAAAAATTAGAGCAGGGAAGGGAAATAGGAAGACTGTCAAGGAAAGAGCATTGCAGTTTTAGATGGAGTAGCCAAGGAAGTGCTCACTAGGAGGTTGCAATTGATTCTTTGAAGAGATGAAGGAAGAAGATGTGTTTTACACAGAGGAATAAATGCAAAAGCCCTGCAGGAAGAGCATGCCCAGCAGAATTTCCAAATGGCAGGAAAGCCAGAGTGGCTGGAGGGGAGTGAGCAAAAAAGCAAGAGATGGGGCCAGAGAGATGACAGGAAGCCAGATCACGAGGGCACTTTGACTTCGACTTTGAGTGAGACAAAAAGCAAGTAGAGGGTTCTGAATAGAAGAAAAACATAGTCTGACCTCTACAATCTAGATTAAATATTAAGAATTAGGCTATAGAAGTACAAAAGCAGAAGCAAAACACCAGGTAGGTGGATACTGCAATAATCTAGCCAAGAGATGATGGTGGTTTAGACCAGAGCAATAGTGGTAGATGGTGTGAGAAGTGGCTGGATTCTTGTATATATTACCCAGGTGGTGCTGACAGGATTTGCTGATGGATTAGATACAGGGTATGAGAAAAAAAAGAGGAGTTAAGGATGACTCCAAGGTGTTTGGCCTGAGAAACGGAAGACTGGAGTTGCCATTTACCTATCACAAAGGGGTTCCGACAGGATTGAAGGTTTCTGGTGCTGCCTGTTCCATCTGTTGTAGCCATCTGGCTTTAGAAAGAATAAATATAGTACTGGGATGGAGACCCCCCCTCTCTCTTGCAATAATAGCCTCTAACCTTTGGAAGAAAAGATCTCAAAAACTATTTATCATTCTCTACAGTTCTGGAGGGGAGATTTTTACTTGTTGCCCTGGATACCAGGTGGCTGGAAATATGCCATTGGTAGATATGTGTATTTGTAAGTTGGGCATTTGTAACTCTGGTGATGATAATAGTATTTCCCCTTGTTCAGTCAACAAAGTCTTAGAAAAATAAATTGACTTCCTCTTGAAGGAGAATTTAATGGTCTAGAATCTAGGCCATTAAGTACCTTTGCTGAATGGTATACCAAAAGCTTTAAAAACATAAATACTTTCCCAAAAGATGTAACAAACCTGTTACACTATTAGGTATTTTTTTAGTTTCATATTAGATGGACCTTTTCATTTGATGTTTATTACACCAAAGGAATCAATAAACATATTTTAGTGAATATGAACGATAAATACGCTAGCAATATAGGCTAGAATATCAAGTTCCCAATATTCAGCATTATCTGTAGTGTTTGAGATGTTAATAATATGTCCTTACTATAACTATTATGTAGACATACTTGCTGTGGATATCGTTTTTGGGTAAATATGTAACATTTTTTTCATTCTCTCTCCCCTACTAAAACTATTAGTGGAGTTGGCTGAAAAGTACTATTTTCTATCTGAAAAAGACACTTTAAGACAAGAAATAAGAGTACTTTATGGGCCCAGGACACTTCTGCTGTACCTCTCTACTACCTAAGAATTATGAACATTTTAAAATGTTATGTAAACTGTATATGAGTTTATAGTAATTAACAAAATTGAAAAATAACATTAAGAAAGCTAAAGCAGTGCTTGCTTTGGCAGCAGATGTACTAAAACTGGAACGACACAGAGAAGTTGGCATGGCCTCTGTACAAGGATGCCCTGCAAAGTCACGAAGCGTTCCATATTTTTTTAAAAAAGAGCTGAAGCAAGCTGCTCTCCATTTGCCTTTCTTAACTCCAAATTTCAGCATGCCATTGCTATTGTTTATCTGGTTGTTTTTACCCCATGTTTTATAGTTATTTGCATTCTTTATAGAGAGAAGGCAAAGTGGAAGCCGGGATCATGACAGCCACAACATGGTTGAAAGAGGAACCTCCCGTACACAAACAAGAAATGGTAAGCAATTTTGAATCCGTAGCCTAGGACTCCTAGAAAACATGTATTGGGACAATTTTAAGCTACTTTTCCCTTCTCTTCATTTTTCAATGTGTAAAGAAAAAGGTCTTTAAAAAAAAAAGTCAAGGACACAAAGTCAGAGGACTGTCAGTTAAATTAACAATTTAGGCGAATTTCACATTTCATACCATAAGAACAAAGTCAAGAACAATCACCCGTCATTTACATCCAAACCGGAATTTTAACTATACCAAACTATAAATCCAAAATTAAATACACTGTATAGGTGAACAATCCAACCTAACTAAACAGTTTTTCACCAACCAAAAAATTAAATGGAAAAACAGTAATCAATGTCTGTTTAAGATTATTAAATCAAACATCAAAATTATTCTCTGACTCAAACATATTTTATTTTGAGTCCGTGATCTTGTGATCTTTTTGGTAGTTTGTCATCTCACATACTACAAAATCTATATTGTCATCATAAGGCCTCTTTAATAAAGAATCTACATGTGGAAGGTTCTTTGTTATTGTTGTTGCTGGTTTTTTTCTTGCTTTTGGGGATTTAACTATACATTTATACTAGCTTGATTTGGAACATGGGGTGAATATTTTTCTAACTTTATAGAAATACATGAGTAGCAAATGTTGGCAAAAGTATTACTGGATTTTAAAAAAAAAAGTATTACTGGATAATACTTTCCCCAAATCTTTTACTAATAAAGCCTTGGTTTTAAGAAACTGAAAGATATATTTAGCTCTGATTGATGTAAAAAATAATAAATACTGGATTTAAATTTGTAGCAAATTTTACTTCAGAATATCTAAAATATTTTTTTTATTTCTGATGGTCAAGATTCTATAAGATCTTATTTTTAATCTATTAGAACTATTTTCTACTTGTGAATTCTTTACTTTGTTAATGCCTACAAATTTGTTTTTTTCTTAAAGTGTGTTTGGAACTGTGTGCTGGACTACAGCAAGCAGGTTGTGTACTTTTCACTTTTGAGACCAGAATCAGTCCCTACATCTTAGAAGCTGACTGCTCTGCTCTGTGTTTTCCTTATAGATAATTTGATTATGTGGTAGTCTGTTTAAACTTTTTATTTTGGAAAGCTATTCAACTTGAGAAAAGAGTGTACCAGACTGTAATATTAAATCCTTTGCATTTGTTTATAAAATGTTGTATTTTTCGAAAATGCCAAGTGATATATTAGTTATCTGCCCAAATTTAATACCCTTCCAGTGTGATAGATTTGATATTATCTTGACATTTTCTAATGTTTCTGTGACTGCTTCTTATATAGTCTAAAGAGCCTGACTGTCAAGAACATAGAGGTCTAGAACAACCTGCGGAGTTGCCAACAAAAGAAGCATGTGATCCCTGCAGTGATTTTAGTGATGATGAATCAGTGGGAAACTCAAGAATAAAGACTGCTAAAAACAAAGCATCTGACTCAAGTAAAGCTTCAGGTTCTGCTGGACAGCTTACCTTACTCCATTGTGGTTTCTCTAAATTGTTTGAAACAAAATATAAAGCAGTTGAAGATAGTGATGGAAATATTGCCTCTGATGATGAAAGTTCTGATGAACAGCCCATGTGTCTTTCAACAGAAGCCAAAGATGTTGGTTTTCAGACAAGTCATGACTCTCTTGGTACTTCAAAACACCAGAAATTAGCTAACACCCTAAATCCAAATGAAAAATGTATTTTTGATAAAAGTGAGAAAATTTTCAAACAAAATATTTCTTCTGAGTCTGATGATGAGAAAAATCTTAAAAATACAGGTGACCACCATTGCATTTTACAGAATGTCACAGAATCAGAAGACAGTGATGTCATCTTTCCCACACAATATACAACTCAGATATGCCCTAAGAATGGTATAAAGTTTAAGCCACTTGTGGATGGATCTCAAGATTCTGAAACAGAAAATCCTGTAAAAATAAGGAATAATGGTGATGATGGAAAGACTGATGTCAAAGGAAATAGACAAATTGCAAAACAATTAAATCCTAAGAACATGACCCTGAAATCTATTATGAAAAGAAAAAGCAGTAGTGATATTAGTGATGAGTCTGATGACATTGAAATTTCCTCTGAGTCAAGAGTAAGAAAGCGAAGAGCTACTAGTTCTTTGAAGTTTAAGAGAAAAAAGGAAAGTAAAAAGGAGCTTTTCACTTTTCCTAAAACAATGAAGAAAACAAATCAACTGTATACCACAGATGGAGATTGTAACTCGCAAGCTATTGATGATTTTTCATCCTCAGATGACGATTTAACTGTCCGCCACATCAGTTTCTCTAAACAAAGCAATACACCAAAAACTATAAAAGATAGAATCAGTTTCTCTTCAAAATTGCCTAACCATAAGGAAAAGGATACTTTAATGCCAAGAAAATCAGTGAAATTTTCAAATGAGAAAGTTGTCAATCAAGAGCAGGTGTATGAGTCAATGGATAAATTTTTAGGTAACTATAGGTATATTTTGAAAACTTTGTTACATATTTGTTTTGTGCATTCAAATAGCTCTGTAAGAGATTCTTAAATTAGCTTGTAATATAGTTCTATAATCAAGATGCTACACTGAGGCACAAATGCGGAAGTGGGTGGATGGCAGGATAAAGGGAAGACCACCTAGGTCAACATAGAGAACTTTGTCATCCGCCCAAGGACCCCCTCCATGTGCCCTATCTGAATCACAGCCCTTTCACCAGACTTCATTTAGTCTTGACCTGTAGGTGACTATAAGTTTAATGCTCCTCTTCAGTCCTTATGTCAGCATCTCACCAGTCAGTTTGGTTGTCAGAAGCTTATTTTCTAGTAGATCCCTCAGGAAGTGCTCGTGAGAATAATATTCCCTGAGATTCCTGTTGGCAACAGTTTGTGCCCTTTATACTTAAAAGTCATTTTTTGCCAGATATAAAATCGTTGACTCACACTTTCTTCAGTATTTTAAATATGAGGCTTCCTTTTCTTTTGGCATGAAGTGTTGTATCACATGTTCTTTTTCTTCCCCCTTGATGCCCAAAGAATTTCTTTTCTTTTCATTATTGTCCAGTAACTTTACTAGACTGTGTTTGAATGTTTGTCTTAGTTCGAGTTGCTATAACAAACAACCACGGACTGCGTGGCTTAAACCTTTAGTTCTCATAGTTCTGGAGACTGGAAGTCCAAGATCAGGATGCCAACATGGTTAGGTTCTTGGCTCAGGCCCTCATCCTGGCCCACAGAAGGCTGCTGTCTTGCTGTGTCCTCACATGGTGGAGACAAAAATCATCTCTCTTGTGTCTCTTTTTTTAAGGCCACTAGTCCCATTCATTAGAGGTCCACCTTCATGACCTAATTATCTCCCAAAGGCCCAACCTTCAAACACCATCATGTAGGGATTGGGGCTTCAACATACGAATTTTGGAGGGACACAAACATTCAGTCCATAGCAGTGTTGGTTATTCTGGGTCAGTATTGTCATAATATAGTTTCAACTCGGTTTTTATTTCAGGAAAGCTTTCTTGTACTAGTATTTTTAGTTACTTTTTCTATTCCTTTGCTGTGGCTTTCTTCTTCAGAGACTCCTGTTATTCAAATATTCCATTTTCTTTGCCTGTCTTCAGTATTTGTCACATTGTCTCAAATCCTTTATCTTTTTCATTTCTTTTTGCTTTTTAAAATATCCTTCCATTTTTCTTAAAGATTTAGTTATTGTTTGTTCCCTCTTATGTTCCTGCAGTCTAGTCTTCATTTTTCCAAATTTGTTTTTAATTTCTAAATCTTCCTGAGTCCTGTCCACCCTTTTCTGAGTTATTCTAATTCTGACTTACATTGTTGGTTCCTGTATCTTACCATTTTCTTAATGTCTTTTACCTGGTTTTGAAGTCAGTTACAATTTTAATGTGCTTTGTGAGCACATGTTTATGGCATATTTTCATTCTGCTGCTTATTCTTTTTTCTCATAATTTTTATGAGATTTGACCCTCTTGCTCATTTTTATAGAAATTATTTTCCCTGAATTTTTTAAGTGAGGCAGAGTTTAGGAAATTTTTTCTAATTTCACAAAGATCCATATCTGTTTTATTATAGAGTCCTCAAAACTATGGTGGGATTTCTTGCCTCTATCCATACCCACTGCTTTGCTTTAGACCGTCTCTTTCCCTCATTCCTAATCTTCCTATCCTGTTCTTTTTGACTCCCTCCCAGCAGTTTCTTCATTGTGTGGCCCTGACCTGGGAGCCCTGGTGGGTCAGTTTGGAGAGTTCCTAAGATCTAGTTTGCTTCATTCTCTCAGGCCTTCTTATCGTAAGCCCCCTGCACCCACTCAGCATTGGAGAACAGAAAACCTTCCCAGATCCCCGTTCCTTCCCAACTCATCTCCAAGTGGCCCACTGTGCTCTCCAGGGCATACCTATTGGCTATTCTAGGCTCTTCTGTTCTCAGATCCATCAGATGCCACCCTGTTGCGTCCTTCACCCACACCCTGATGCTGTGCACAGTGTAGCTATTGCTGGATTGTCCCCATCTATTTGTATTTTAGAGTTCATGGGGGAGTGTCTTGTTACCTTAATTTGTTGTATGTGTTGTCCATGGCCTTTTGTTTCACTCAGTTATTGCTGGCTGTTTTATGTAGGGATTCAGAGATTGAAAAATTGCTTACCCTGCTACCACCATCTGCTGATAATCTGCTTAGTGATTTTAAGAGTTAGCATTGCTTTTAAAAGTGTCTGACTCATTCCCAAAAAAAAAACTATGTGAAAGAAGCTGATATATAAGCAAGGATAGTTTGATATAGGAATTATAATCATTGTGTTTGACTTATTTACATATCAAGCTTTCTTTTGTGGTTATTCACAAGTTCATTATGATATATATTTTGATACCCTTGTAACTAAGTACTGGACTATCCTTTGGTTTGTGTGCTATAATTAGATTTAGATTTGAGGAATCATTGCATAAACTGTTCTTTAAAAGAGTAGCTGAGCTTTGTGTTTGTTTTTTACTGTGTAAATGATGTCAGTAGTGTGGAACTAATGCTATTTTGAATAATACATAAAACGTGTCATCAAAATTAAGAAAAATCTGAGTAAATTTTCTACCAGAAGAATACTTGATCCTTCTAGAGGTTTAAAACTGTTGCCATACATGCTACCTGGTATTTTGAGATTTAAGGAGGATATTATCTTAGTTGTTCTTTTTGTTATTTAACATCTTGTTTTCTCACAATTGTCAATTTTGGTTGAGAGAGGGTCAGGACTGAAACAGCACAAGGGTTGAAGGTCATAATTAAGGTTCATTGCCAGAGATGTTTGAGGGAGCTTTTACAGACCTCAGTTCTAGCCTTCTCTTTTATGACCACAATTTAAAAATAAATTATAGGTGCCTAGAAGCAAAGCAATAAAAAATGTAGCCATTTTTTAGACTTCTTTCAGATAAAAGCTGTAAGTTAATTTTTTTCATTTCCTAAAAAGCCCCCAATCTTGACATTCTCTGGGCATATGTACAAAAAAGACAAAATACAAACAGTAAAACTGAACAAAGCCAACCAAATGAAACTCCCTGGTCATAAACCCCATGCTCCCACTCCATTGCTGTAATTAAGTACATGTTTAAAGGAACAGATAGATGAGGCCAGCACTGCTATTTAAATTAGTAAACAATTTTTTTAAATCAATAGAAACAACAAATCCATGGAGATAACCCTTCACCGTGACATTTTTCTTAGCCAAAACCTTCATTTCAGGTTTAAATCTAAAAATTGTTACCTAATCTCAGAAGTTCTCATATTGATGAGAAGGACAAGTCATTTCCAAGTTAACCTAGACCAATATATTTGAACTCTTCAATTTTTATAAAAAATAGAATATTGTGATGTTAACATACAAACTCAATGTTTTTCCTGAGGGTTAAGAATAGAACAAACATAACTTCTCTTTTAGTGTATTGCTGATAATTTTTAAAGTGTACATGGAACCATATTGCTTCACAACGAGACATCACTTAATAAACACCAATTGCCTCCCAGATGGTGTTCGGGAAGTGGCTTATATTCACTCCAACCAGACTGTGATTGGATCCAGCAAAGCTGAAAATCACATGAGCCGATGGGCAGCACGGGATGTGTTTGAATTGAAGCAGTTTTCCCAGCTTCCTGCCAATGTAGCTGTTTGCACTTCTAAGGTAAGAGAACATAGGGTTCTGACATCTTTAGTATTTAGAAGTTACTCAATAGGATCTTCTCTAAATACTCCCTCAGAAGTGGCTACTAAGACTATAAGCAATAAACAAACAAGTGTAAAAATCAGAACGCCATTTGGAGCACTGTTGTGCTAAAAAATGTTTCATATTAAAAGGCACATCTATCTTTAAATGCCTAATCATGTTGAGTTGCTTAATAAAAGTTTGCTAAAAAATGAGAAGTCTGAGGGAATCATGCAGTTAAATCAGAATCAAAACCACTTCCGCTCATATAGAAAAGGGAAGTGTATGATTAGATTTCCTTCAGAATTTTTCATCTAACATGAAGGCACACATGAAAACTAACTTCATACAGAATTTTTATATATATATATA